AATGGTCCATCACAGTCGAACACCAGCCTAATACCAGCCCACTTCCCTTCAAATCCCTACTACTGTAGCTACTGGAGTTACCCCCTCTTGCATATTTATTAGTGTTGCACCGATACCGATACCAGTATCGGACAGGGCCCCGATACTGCCCTAAAATGGTGGTATCGGTATCGGCAAGTACCAACAAATAGGGCACCGATACCATTTTGAGAGCCAAAAGTTTATTCAGCTATTGTCACCCATTCCTGGTAGGCAATAAAAAGTTCTACTGGTTTCACTTTGTATTAGATTTTTTCCTGCTTCACAAAGGTAGGCAGCAGCTTGACAAAGCCATGATGGCAATTATTTTACATTATTATGGTATCGGTATTGGCCGATACTGTACAGCCAGGTATCGGGTATCGGTATCGGGGCCAAAAAATGCCATTGGCGCAACACTAATATTTATTTACTCTGACTCCACCCTTTCACTAAATTACAGGATCTTAATGTCCACAAATCATGACAGAATATTTTAGTACAAATATTGATGTTTAAAAGGAACTGAAGAGGGACCAGCCAAAGGCCCATCAAGGAAAGTGGGGACATTTTGAATGGCTACTGCTGTACCTGCTATGGCCACTCAGTCAGTACTAACTAAGTCTGTTTTGTGTTCATCCATCCCTCTCTGTGAAGTGATCATCCCTCCTTTCATGACCTTCACAAGTCTAGGGCCAGATAAAGAGCATCTAACATCACTGCAGACCCCACACATCCTGGACGAAGCCTCTTCAAAGTGTTAGGTTTCTTATTTATGCATCATGTGCATTGTTATTCTGTTAGCCAGATTAGACAGAGTAGAAGGCCTGTACAGAGGTCATCTAATCAGGGCAGCCTTCGTGTCTTTAGAAATACACAGGATATGGGCACATCTTGGAGCCGGTCTGATAGAGGAGAGCTATCTGTAACCCTGAGGCATAGAAGCAAGCTGCATGAAGTTCAAGACATGGATGGTGTGTCAGTTTCTGATACGGACAGCTAAACATCCACATGATGCAACACATAGACTCATGAGCTATAAGAAGCAGGAGATGGCCTTGTTTGGGGCTCAATCTTTGCCGGACGCTCACGGACGTGATTTTTGAGCCCACAGCTCTGCTAGCTCCAAGCATTTTCTCTGTCCTGTAACGACCTGATCTGGAATAAACTCTGTTACTTTTTTACTCCTGTTTTATAGTCCTTTTTATATAGTTTTACCCAGTTTGAGCTAAGAGTAGTAAATAACTTGCTCCCAGGAAAAGAACAGTGAGGAAGCCCCCGAGGCGCAACGGCTTTTTTAGGGGGCATAACTTCCTCATTTTTAACAAAAGTCTTACTCTAACAATTTTAAAATCTTGCTTCCTCTTTTTATTTGACATTTTTCTCCCTGTAAGTTTTCTTTTACAGTGCAGGTGCTGTAGTGCTGCTAAGTATTTTGTGGGCAATGGAATACAGATATGAAATTCATGGTTGAGGTTTCTTTTATTGGGATTTCATTTCGAAATTTTGACTTTCACTTTCAGTGACCGGATTGGTCAAGTTCTTTACCAAGTAAAGCCACATAATACAATTCCAAAAGGCATGTTTTCAAAACAACCTAATACTTGTAGTCCAAAGGACTACAAAAACTAAAGAGGCTCACTTCCAGCTGTCGCATCCCACGTTTTTGTCATGGTCTCTGGTGAAGAAGCAGCTTAACGACAGACATACATCATGTCTTGGATATGTCTTTATGTGGCGGTTTTTTAAAGGTCAAACTTGTGCTGCAAACCACGCCCTGCATATCCCTCAGCCATCACTGGACGAATGAACCTGGGTTCTCAGCATTGGGGTTGCACCTATAGCTTTGATGCCTTTTCTTACAACTCTTTGCTGATTAAGCTTCTATTAATATACCTAGATTGAGCTCTCTCATTTTACGTCACTAACTCTCCTTGGGGGTTTTCAGTAGCAGCCTGTGGGATAAATGTCAAATCAGAATTTTTACAATTCGTATATTTTTAAATAGGATAATATGAACATGAACAAAAAAATATTGGTTAAAGGTGGATTGGAGGATTTTTTAAAAGACCCGCCCTCTAAACTTAAGCAAAAAAAGCATGTACGAGCCTATTTCTCGTGCACGCCCTGTTTAAAACATGCTGTTCTCATAGCTCATACAAGCTAACTGACCGTTCAGACAGATGATCACTGCTTTCTGCTCCGTTGGTCATGTAACTAGGAAAGGTGGTCTGGGTGGTCGCAATAGTCTCGTGAGACCATCCTGATCTCGCGAGCTTTCAAGATTTCACTCGCTAATCACTCTGGAGACTTCTTCATTGTATATTATTAGAGTTAGTCTTTAAAGCCTTATGCTAACTAGTAGGTGCTAACCAAATAAAGGCTAATGATCAATGACTGCAAGAGGTCAACATTTACCAAGCTGTGTTTCGAAAAGGAAAATTCAACTGTAGTAGTGAAAATATAGCCTCGTGAGACCATCCTGATCTCGCGAGCTTTCAAGGTTTCACTCGCAGATCAGTCTGCAGACTCTCCGTTAAAGAAAATTTGGAGCCGTTCACCAAACGAGCGTCCAATCAGCGTTGGCTTTGAGGCGGGTTGAGGTGTGACGCAACGAGAAGCGCGACAGTTCAGTCTAAAGAACATGGCGGCTTCAGCC